TTTCTGAAGAAGGGTCTAGGCCCGAAACATCAGCCTTCCTGCTCCTCTGATGCTGCTTGGCCTGCTGTGTTCATCCAGCTCTACACCTTGTTATCTCAGATTCTCCAGTATCTGCAGTTCCTACTATCTCTCAGTCTAAGGATATGGGATAGGCGATTTAGAACTGAGATGAGGAGAAATTTCTTCAGAGTGGTGAGCCTGTGGATATCTCTGCTACAGAAAGCAGTCAAAGCCAAAACATTTAATATTTTTAAGAAAGAGTTTGATATTTTTCTTAAGACTAAAGAGATCAAAGGGTATGGGAAGAAAGTAGGAGCAGGGTACTGAGTTGATGATCAGCTGTGATCATATTGAATGAAGAAGCAGGCTCGAAGGGTCGAATAACCTACTCTTGCTCCTGTTTTTCATGTATCTATGTTAATCTTTCATCCAAGTCATGAATATAATCATAAATTTTGAGGTCGCAATTCTTGGATCAATCCACTGGTTACAGTTTGGCAACCTGAAAATGATTCATTTATCCTGACTTTTACCTGTTAGTTAGCCATTCCTCTAGCCATGCTAATCTATCACTGCCAACATCATAGATTCTTAGCTTTTCCAGTAGAAACTTGCGTAGCTCCTTATTGAATGCCTTTTGAAAATCCATAAATACTCCATCTACAGCTTTCCCTTTATCTTCAAAGAGCTTAGAGTTGTCAAATACAAATTTCCTTTCACACAATCAGGCAACCTTGTCTCATGATTTTCTAAATGTACCTCCTGAATAATGGTTCTAATATTTTGCCGATAATAAATGTTAGACTAGCTGACCTATAGTTTCCCATTTCTGTCTACCTCCTTTCTTGAACAATGTTGCATTTGCGGTTTTCCAGTATGCTGGGGCCTTTCCAGAATTTGGGGAATTTTGGAAGATTATAAACAATGCATTCGCTATATCTGCAGCTACTTCTTTTAAGGTGTGTGGTGGCAGGTTATCAGGTCCAGGGAACTTAACAGCCTTAAGTTCTGCTAGTTTCCCTATCACTTTTACTCTGGTGACATTAATTTGTTTTAATTCCTCCATCCCTTTCATCTCTTCAGTTTGGAATGCTTCTCACAGATCTTCTTCTATGGATATGAAATAACTGCACAAAGGCCAGTATCCCATCACCAAGTCACCTTTTATTTACGTGTGCACAGTGCATGGGCTCTGACCAGCCAGTTAAGAGCCAGTTCCTAGAAAAAGGATACTGTCTGAATCTCCTGTTTATCTGTCAGTCAGGACTCTCTGATGGGCCCAGGTTAACAACCCCAATCAAGGATCTGTCAGTAAGATCAACCTGGCCCTTGTTCCAATCACTACAGAGTACAAATGCAAAATAGTTCAAAGCTTCTGCCTCTTCTTGTGTCCCATTAGTAATTCCCTAGTTTCATCCTCTAGGTGACCAATGCTCACTTTAACTACTCCTCTTATTTACTTGTCGAAGCATTTACTGTCGGTTTATATAACATATATATAGTTTCCTCTCGTACTTTTCTTTCTTTTTTAGACATCCTTTGCCGATTCCTGAACTTCAGATCTTCAAATCAAATATTATTATTTGTCATGGTAGTGTACACCCTTTCTTTCAAGTTGATATCACCCTTGCGTTTATTAATTAGCCATGGATGGTGATCCTTCAAGTAGTTTCTTTCTTTCTATTGTAATGTATCTTTATTGAGAGTTATGAAATGTCTCCTTAAATGTCTACCACTACTTCTCCATTGTTTTCACTTCTAACAAATTTTCCTATCCACTTTATATCTTTGCTTTCATATCCTTGAATTGCCTTTAGACTTTTTTTAAGATACTAGCCCAAGACCCACATATCTCGCTTTATATGATGAAACAATTACTGTTGCCTGGAGGATCCTACACTTTTGAGATTCTTAAATAATCATGTTTTTATTGCACGCTACCCAGCCAAAAAAAGCCTATTCCCTAATATGTTCCAGAATGTACGATTCTATGAAGTTGTTCTTAATGCACTGTATGAGCCCATCCTCCATTCTACTATTGCCTAACATATACTGCTTAACCATTTTTGTTCGCAGTGACAAGTTTTTCCATTAATACCAATTCTTTTGTCTTTGTGTCTATTAATACATTTACTTCACAAGTATCTATTATCCTGTAAGCCTTTAATTGGTACTTCAGAATCCTGCTTTATCATTCAAAGAAAACTCAAAAAAAGTATTCATTTTTAGAGCGAGAAAACAAGCTGTTATGTTGGTACACCCTTTGGAACCAGGAAGTATATACCGGGTAGAAAAATGGTAAATCTGAACAGGAATACTTTACTGATGATGTTCATACCTCCACAGCCGGTTCTAGACTGGACATAAGCTCTGTCCCATCAGGTCACCTGACCAGCTGCCTACATAGCACTATTCAATTTGCTGTTAATGCAATCTGGCCTATCAGTTTGACTTGAAATTATTAAAAATTTTAAAATCCCGTGTTGATTTACTAAAAAATACAATGCATAATTTGCATATTGTCATGAACTTAATTTTTTTTTATGATTGAGAGAAGGAAGTACTAATTAGTAGAAGTTTGTGCAGGTTTTATTCCCAAACATCATGATATAAATTATGATAGTGTATTTCCATAAGTGTGAATCATTCTGCAAAGTGATGATAGGGAAAAATTATTGTTGAATGTATTGTTCAATGTTAAAATGTTAGAGAAAGCAACTTGATATAAATGTACTAAATGTTCACAAGATAGCACAATTGATTTTAACTTGTGATTCTGCTATTCCAAGAAGTGCAGCATTTTTCAAGTGAGTAACAAGACTGATTTGTGCAAATTGATTAACTTATTTCTTGTCTTTTAGAGTTTTGTACAATGCCAGTTTAAGAAGATAGGAAGAAATATCGGACTTTGAAACTAGAATGCTACTGTATGAAGGGAACGCAGACTGCATGATTGTTCTATGAAGGGAAACTTAAAGCATTGATATTGCTTATATCCATTTCAGCTTTTAAGCCAGTTCATGTCCTCCATTTCTAAACCTTTGAGTGCATAAATGCAAATTTTTAATAACTCCATTACTTGTTAGCATCTCCCTCCAAAAGGTAAGTTATCTTACAAAGTGCAAATCTACAATTAAAAGTGCTTTGGTGTAATTTGAATTGGGTAGTATCCATTTATGATTCGCGATAAACCCACGGTAATTGTAGGTTAGCTAAGAAATTGAGGATGCTAACGACAAATTAAAAAGTTTGTTATCTCCATCAGAAAATGCATGATCTGCCTATGGGCACCATCCACAAAGCATGTGAATCCATAAAGTAATAAAAGGCAATGCACTCTGGCAACACCACTTCAGAATATAGCACAGACTAGGAGATACAAAAGACTATTCATCTAGGCTAGGATCCATTCTAGCAATAATGGGAGATGTTCAGCAAGTGGGTACACAGATTTATTTATTTTATGTATTTTGTCTATGCTGGACGTTTTTGGACATCTGTAATCCTAATGAACAGTGAACTTAACACAGTATATGGGAAGGTTAGCAATCTCTCTATATTCCTCCATTGGGTCTATAGTGCTTATTTTTACTACTATGCTGTAAGCGCAGGAATGAGTCTTCAGTTGACTTCATCCTATTCTGTTTTACATAGTAAACATAGAAGCAAGAGAACTTACCTTATGTTCCTATCAGGAAACAGTGCTCACTAAATCAGCAGCTCTTGAAAAGGCAGTGCTCACTAAATCCATGAATATATAACTATTGCAAAAATTGGAACAGCTTAGTCCACCTGCATGGAATAAATGGCATCATTGATGTGAGTGACATGGCAGGCTCTGCGTTGAGGTATTATACACACTAGTTTCTGAAGCAGTATGTCAAATTTAGCTGTAGTTGTTACTTCCAATCCTGTTTTGAACTAAGTGACAGCTCTCTTGATTACTTTCATTGAGTGTATTATGTAATGATCCATTAGCCCATAAAGGGAAAATAACTTTTTCTGTCTCTACCTAGAGCCTGTTAATTTTAAACCAGAGTCCTTTATATCTGTGCTCACTGCCTGTAGCTTGTTCCATCTGCATCATAAAGTTATCTTCTCAACAGCAATCAAATAGATGACCTTTCCACTCATTAACAGAGGATAGTCTATCAGGCAGCAATTAAGTAATCAGTTAGCTTGGTTGAGCAGGTCTACGTTGTTACTTGATTCGAAAAGGACCTACAAATTCCTTCTCTTGTTTGCTAGTTAATCTGAATTTTAGGGTCATCTATCCACCTGATGTGTTATTTAAGAATCAGGAGGCATGGTTTAAAACTTTCAAGCAACACTACGCTATAGTTACTGATTAGTCTGTATTCACTTTTACAGGATTGCAAGTATAGGAGCAATCACTGTTTACGTAAAAAAACAATCTCATAGAGACCCACTAGCTGGGTTGCCTGCTGAGAAAATACATGCTTGGACGGTTTCGCCCGTGTTCACTTGCAGAGATTGCTATCTACCTTGTTTCTGGGTGATGAGCTTGAATATATCATTGCCACTTAGCAAATAAATATGTTTCATACTGACTTGATTTGGACCTCCAGGATTGACATTGAGGAAATGGGAATCATGTGATCTGTATTCACCTAGGTGGCAACTGGAATTAAACCTATCTCATATGTAACTGCAACAATCAGGAGATTTCTAGTAACCATTAAGTAATTCAAGGGTGCAGTTTCTTTATTTGGAACCTCCCACCCTAATCTAAATAATTGGTGCCTTGTCTTTTGCCCTCCTGAGTACCATTCTCCTTATCCGGAAATTTTTTAAGAAGGAGGGTAATAGCCCTCATTGTTATTCAGGTTAGTGTGCTTGGGTTACTGCTTCCGATAGCACTCAAATCTAGCAAAACGGTCAGCCTATTTGAAGAAAATTTAATGTTTTTGTTTCTCTGATACTGTGAGATTCCCAGTATTATTAACTAGTGCCACTGAAGAAGTTCCTTATCTTACTCAGTTACTTTCATTTGTAATTGAATTATAAATAAGTTGCCCACTATATGCAAGATCTCATTCTCAATTTTAGTAACTGAACATTGATAGAGGCCAAATACATGATTTAAAAATTGTGTGCCTGAGAGGAATTCTGAAACTAAGTACAACATTTGTGGTGATGAAAGTGAAATCACTTCTTGTATAATCTCCCGATTTATTACTTTTGCATTGTAAATGATCTGGAAGCCAGTGCAATTTTTAGATCATTGGGAACATTTTCCCCTGAAATCTAATCTCAACTTGCTGTTATATACTTGTAACAGCTAACCAAAAATTAAATTTGGATTTTGACACAGTGTTAAGCTTATAATGTTAATATGTATCAGAATTTGAATATATTCCATAACTTTATACTTTCCTAATTTAAAATAAATTTGTAATAGCTACTTGAGTATTATACAGATACAATGTAAATATTGCCTTTTTGGTACAGTTGAAAATAGATTAACATCATGATGTCAATCAGTATTATGTTACGGGTGGCAAGTCAGGTTTCCTTGGTGCAAGGTACTTCTACAGCAATCTCTGAAGAAGTGGCAAAATACCTAATTAAGGGTACTTGGCTTAAATCTAACCACCCTCGCTAAAAAACCACAATTTTCTGTAAAATTTAATTATTTGTCAACTTTAGCAGAATTTATTGACAATTACTGGTTCCTAGTACTACTGAATAAATGTTCATCCATGCCCAATAATCAAACTGATTATCTCTATCGAGTGTGGATATGATTGTACATTTTTTTAAAAGACAAACATATCTTTGTGAAGCAGAAATGGATGTAAGACAATACTTGAGAGGTCTGTATATTTACCAACAAAAAAGCTTTGTTTTTACTTTTTTGTGGCACTCTTATTAGCACTTCTGGGATGAGCTGGATAATGTAAGTGAAGTAATTATTTTTCCTTTTGGGAGTATAAAGCTCTTGGGGGAAAATTTAGGCAAATGTTCTTTACCAGTGAAATATCCAGCACTTTATTCAGCTAATATTGTGACCAGTAATTCCCCTTAATATTTGTGATTTTTTTTTCAGTCAATTGTCCACCGTACAACTTAAGAGTATTTACTAAATGTGTATAAAAATGTTCTGTTTACTGTAAATATTGAAACTATTTTCTTACTGTGCATATTTTGAACCGTGCAAAAACAAAAGATAAGCAGCTACTTCCCTTCATTGAGGATGTTTTTGGTAGTACAGGCTTGTTCTGAAGGGAGCTTCAGTTGCCTGACCAGCTTTTGGGTCAGTTGTTTTAAATACAGAATTTCTATTCAGATTTGTATGGTTTATATCTATTGTAAGTTTCATTTTTTGGAAAGGTTCATTTTTTATATATATGTGTACATGTATATATACACACAAATATATATGAAATGGTATAATATTTTGTTATATGTACTAATTGAGTACAATCAAATGATAACTTCACCACATGTTTTTGTGGTAGCTGTGTGAAACTGTCAAAATTAGTTCAAAATGGCATCTTTGCTACCGTTTTTGACTGATTTTAAATACTTGTTTTCAAAGGAAATCAAATATTTATGGGGCATACTGTGAAGTAACAGGGCTAAATGTATTTTAAATATGACTTTTCATGAGAAACCATATAAACAGATAATGCTGAATGAGAAAGTATTTTTATTTTTTTTATTTTGGCACACAGTTTTTATCATGAGACAAAACTGAAATCTAAAATCAGATAAAAAAAATTATGTAGATGTTCATCTTTTGAGTTCACTATTTATACTGAATACCATTTTGTCATGTACTATTCTGATTCTATTACTGCCTATTATCATGGGAGCGTGTAGTAGTAGCCTAAATATGTAAAAATGAATTTATGTTGCTGGCTTAAAAAAAACCTGAATTTATAGTGCATTGTTAACTCTTCACATTCATATTAAGATTTATGACTGTTTGTAATCTTATTTTTGTTCAGCAACATCCCATTCAATTCATATTATTGTAAATATCTCTATGCAGTAATATAACTTCAGATCACATTTGTTTCTTACCTCGCATGTCAAATTAGCATTAATTTTGCTTTTTACTGAGTACCTTTAACAAATGTAATTGAATGATAAGATGAACCAAATACCTATAAATATTTTAGATTAATATTCCAAAATATTGAGTTTTATTTGATTAATTTATATTTAAAAGACATCAGGTAGCTAAAACTTAAGGTACTTATTTTTTTTATGGATCCTTAAATACACATTTAAGAGGCTTCTATCAGAAGCTGTTTGTCTCCTCCATGTCTACTCCCAGCTTTTCAACTTATTTATTCTGTTTCGTCAGAATAAAAGTATATATTTAATTCATCCACATCCACAGACTGCAACTTCTGCTAATTAAACCAACATAATTGTTAGACTTGTGGAACAAACAAACTTAACTAACCTGCTTCCAATTGCATGAATTTTTAATTAAAAGCTAATGGATAGGAAAACTGGGTACAAATAATTTTAGTATTCAGGTAGCCAGGGAGCCTAAAGTAACACTGTTATTGCTTACCTGTCTTTCATTATCCGTCATCTTACTGGTATTGTTCAGCTTTGAAATGCCCTGTTCAGTAATTGAAGATTGTAGTTTGCTCAGCTGATTTTATCTGAATACTTTTGTACTGTGTTGAAAGAAATTGGAATGTCATTCTTGTTTTTGCACAATGGATCATTGCAAATTTATTAAGATTTTATTTAGTTTTGAACTTTAAATTGAATTGTTTTTCATTAAATGAGTATTTAGGGCTAAAATGAGGGTGATGGGCATCTTGTACAACAAGATAAAGATTATTAACAAAGCTTCCATGCTGGAATATTTGGTAATTTGATTGAAATAAAGCTTCATTGCTAAACAGTTGACTTCTTAAGATGTTCAGTAGTTCAATGGAAGATCTGGATCTAGAACATTATTGCACCCCTCTAATAGACAGTAATTGAACCAGAACTTTGCACAAGTTATCAGCTTTTATGGAAATGAGAGTTTTAATACTATTGTTTCATTGAACCTTCTTTTTATGTTATTACATAATATTGATATTTTATGTTGAGTATGGTTCATTTGGAAAGTACACATGGCAAGTTTACTGATTCCACATTTTCAATACTTACAGATCACCAAATCAGCATAGCCCAATGTTTTGTTTTTGCTTCCTTTAAGGTCAGCCCCTCCACTTTGTGCATAAAATGAAGAATTTTCCTTTACATATTCCTGATAATGACCTTTTTTTAAATAGCGCTGATATTCCGCATGCTAAACTTTAGTGTAGAAATACAAGAAGCCCTTATGATTTGACATTTAATTTTTGACATTCTTGTAATAATGAAGCTCGATTTTTATATATGCTTTTTAATAAAAGTTGTACTTGTGTCTTGGTTTGTTTCATTTTTATTCTTCTCCTGTAGGTTACTTAGCTTCACCCACCTGAAAAAGCTTGGATGTGCACAGCATATCATGTGATAAACCATGAGCAGAAATAATTTCTGTGTGCTATCAGACAACATCCAATCTTGAGATTTTGCTGGGTTTAGACAAAAATCACTTATTATAAGCAACAAAATTCACAGCCATTTGGTCTCGACCCTCGTTGCCCTCATGCCTCTTAATTTTAATTGTTATGTTTTAATTTTGAGAAAATTTAATGTAATTTTTTCTAATTATATAACTCAATCTGGCATACAAATCTGCCTGGTAAAAATAAGCAATTTCTGGCTTTTAAATAACCTAGAAGGCATTACTGGGGCCGGGGAAAAAGTTGTTTTTGGTTGGTGGGGTGGTGCTATGTGCAGCTGAGATTGTTTTGACATAAACCTATATCCCACTCCAGATTCATCTTCAGCAATTTCTTGGAAACAAAATGCCTATTGTATTTGTAATCAGTGAAGACTGGTTTTGCTCATGGTTAATTGAGGGCCACAGATATTAACCTTATCTCGTCACAACTGTAGGAATAATGCAGACTGAAATGTTTGCGCAGACACTGCTTCCAGAACTTTTATCCAAAAGTAGGTATAGGAAAGATCAAGGCCACAATTTTTTATAACATTTATTTATCCTAAAATTAGTGCACCTTGTTTAAGAATAGCACAGATATTTAAATTTGCCCGTAATAGATGAAATCTGTATATTTTTGTGATTTCTGCAGGTATTCAAATGTAGTAGAACATGGTTTTATGCAACGTATGAGGAGTGTTGAATATTTTTGCAGTAGATTTCTTTTGGTGAGTTACAGCTAGTGTTTTGCACTATTAGATCAGTAGATGTTCTGATTGAGCACAGCATATATCCAGTACCCTGTGTAATTTGGTATATAATGAACAATCATAAGAAAAGGTGCAATGTGTAAATTACATGTTCAAAATTTATTTAGCAAATAAGCAAGAAATGTTGTTCTATATAGCTAAATTGAGCCTGCGATGCTGTTGTGTTGACTCTTGATACAGTTAATAGTTGACTTTACTTGAACCTTTGTTTATCAAGATGTTCTCCATTTTTTTTCTTGTTTTCATGTCTCTTTCACTCTCATCGCCAAGGCAGAGTTTTGTCTCATATTCACTAATACTGTCTCAAATGAAGACTGAGATAATATAGATTTTTTTGTATGGACAGAAACATGGATATGAAATGCCTCATTAATGTTTGATTTCACTTCACATTTTTAAAGAAATGGTTTAGTGATAATGTGTTTAAGTTTTTTTTTAAGAATTGTTTCATATTTGGATGAAGTTTATAAAGCAGTAAGGAAAATACTTTGGATGCTGGAAATCTGACAGAAACAAAGCACTGGAAATACTCAGTAGGTCTGGCAGCATCTGTGGATGGAGAAATAGAGTTAATATATCTTATGAGTCAAATTTGAACTAGTAGGTGAATCAGTAAGGCTGCTCTGGGATATGTTTCTGCAATCAACAAATTGGAAACCAGTTTGAGTCACCAAAACTATATTGTGGGAGAGCTCCAAGTATCATGAATTTCTTTTTTAAGTGAGACATTTAAATATTTAAACAGTGTGAACTTTACAGAAGGCTTTGATACTTCACTATCACAACTAATTCATGACTATTTAATAAGTTTATGCTATAATTAATTATGTCATTATATTAGCACTTTTTAAAAGAACTAATGTAAACACACTTCTTCCTTTTATTGTGATACAACAACTAATAACCCAAAGTGTTGTCTTCATTGTTAATGAGAATATTAGTAGACCATGCCTGCTGTTTCTAATCCAATCTCACATTCCACTCTTGTGATGCTGTAATTTTATTTTCCTTAAGTTTGCATCGAATTTGCACTCATTGCGTAAAAGCTTATTTATTACATCCCCCAGCACCTCTTGCCCAATAATTTAAATCTGTGTCCCTTATTCTTTACCCAGTCAATGAATGGGAACAGTCTTTGCTTGTCTATCTTGTCTAAGCCTCTCGTAAGATTTACTAGAGATGTACAAAATTAACTAAATATAATTGACTCCAAGGATACACCCTTAATAACTCAAATCCCTCCAACCTGGAACCATTCTGGTGCATCTCCTCTGTACCTTCTGAAGGATCCTCACATTGTTCCTAAAATCTGGTGAGCAGAACTGGACACACTACTTTAGATTAGGCCTTTATGTAAAAAAAAACACAATTTCTCTGCTTTTGCACTCAGACTTATGAAGTACAAGTTTCACTTCGAGTGCCCTGCCACTTTCTGTGCACATGAACTCTCAGATCCCTCTGTGCTTGCATAACTCTTTTGATTTGTGGCATCAAGTCTAAAATGCCTCTCCTTATTGCTTCTGCTAACATACATTACCTCACACTTGTATCAAATTCCATATGTTACTTGTCTGCCCATTTTGCCAGTGTGCCTTGTTAATTGAAATCATCCCCACTGAAAGCTATTTGCCACTCACTCTCCAAAACTCTGGCACTTTCCCAGTATCAACCAAAATTTGAAAGATTATGGCGAGCCTTTCAGCTAGTTCTACCCTCATTCCATTAGTGACCTGGAATGTGAGCCATCAGGATCAAGTGACTTACTAACTCTCACAGTTAGCCTTTCTAGTTACTCACGCCTAACAATTTTCATGCCGTTCATTACCTCTATCATTCCCCACTTCTTCTGATGTTTTGTCAGCATCTTGCACTTTACTAAACACTGGATACAGAGTGCTCTAATTATTCCTGCCTTACCCGGAGCTCCAAAACACCTATCACCGTCTTTGTTCATAAAAAGACCAACCCTATTATCTCTTGCTATCCATTTGCATCCTAATAGAATTTTTTGTTCCCTTTTAATATTAGTTGCCATTTTGTTCTGATTCTTTACTCAGCCAGTTGTATATCTCCCCTCAACTTATTTTATTTGGCCTGATTCTTGCTTGAAGAGTTCATTTGACGTGCATAATACACACTTATTTTTGTTTCATCATATTCCCTTTCCCTCATCCTCCATAGAGTCCTGAATCGAGATCTTATACCATGTGAGTTCTACTTAAGATTGTTCATTGCTCTTCTGCATTTCTAATCTAAGCCTTATAATATGGTGATCATTAAATCAAATGTTTGTCCATATGCAATTAGTTCATCCAAATCCCTAACACAACATGTAGAAAAGCGTATCATCTTATTGGATGGAGGGCGTACTCACCAAAGAAGTTCTCCTGCACCCATTACAAAAATCTTATCCTCAGTCCTGATTTCCATTTATTTATGTCTTTCTCACTGTTGTAAGGTCTATAGAACATTAAACGTGTGATCATCATATCTTTCTTGTCTGTCAACCGCAATCATGTAGATTGTCAAGGACGACGACATCTTTCCAACATTCCATCATTGAACTGTACTGCCACAACTCTTTCTTTTTGCCTTTGCCAACTATAATTTTCTAACACTTCCTATCCCTGTTCTTTGCTTTTGAAAAATTGTGTCGTCCATGTTGAATATGAAATGTAAAGTTACTGACTTGAAGGAATACAAATGCTTACTATACATGCTGAAAGCATAACATTGACCAGAACTTGAGAAAATAGGGTTGGGTCTCCCATGTGGTATAGTTTTACCCCTCCCTCACATTATAAGATGAGATACAAATCTCTGCAAAATTGTTGAATGCAGAACTGAACAGAGGAAATCTCAGCTGGAAGACAGAAAAGAACTGCAAGTAAATTTGTAAATGTTATTATTTCAGGTTGGTGCAGAGATGGTAACCGGTCTTTTCTCTTTTCAAGTGCTGACCGAAGCCCTGTTTAAAGCCAGAAGTTTTATTTTGAATTACAGAATTTCCCAGCCAATGATAATGAAAACATCGGCTATTTTCCATCCGAGGTCATATTTCAGCACTTTTTATGGATAACGACAGAGTATCTTTGGTGGAGGTTTGAGAATTCTCAGACCTTCTTCTGGTCCTTGTCGGTGTACTGAAATCTAGTACCTTTCAAGAGTTATCACAATTGATCAGAAACAACATTGTGCTCCCTCATCCAGACACATGTTGCCAGAAAGTGTTTTTAAAAGTATAAATTCAAGGTATGGCTTTGTTATCCAATATACTCACTATATAATTGAGACAACTTGTTACTTGTTGCAAAATGAGTCTTTTTGAAGTTTTCCTGCTGTGGTGTAAAGACAGCACCAAATTATATCATTGTTATGCTTCAGTAATAGTTACTAACAGCACTGACATTGGTGGTTTGGGAGAACATTATTTGCATCGGTGTTTAATTGTTGAAACTAATTGTATTTTGCTTTTGTTGGGACTTTGTATACTTTGGCAATTATATTTCTGTAAATTACCATCTAAACAAATAAAAAGTTAAACTTGTAATTTTCTGGGTTTTTATCCATGTATAGTTTGCAGGTCCTGCATTAATTTAGAACTACTTCATTAGTATAGCGTATATTTAAAAGGAATTTTCCAGTGATCAGTTTGACCATTCAGATATTTGAAACTTGCTTTTCTCATCACAAAAAAAAAACACAAGTAGAATTAAACCAAACTAAATGAGCTCTTCACATTTTAAAGAACAGAAAACTAGAACAGTCCCTTTGGCACATGAAGACTGTGCTGTCACGTGATGCCATTCTAAATTAAAAACTTTTTGCCTCTACACTGTCTATCTCCCTCAGTTCCCTGCCTATTCACATGTCTGTCAAGATACTACTTAAATGTTGCTATTGTATCCGCCTCCACCACCACCTCTGGCAGTGCATTTAAGGCATTTACCACCCTCTGTGTAAAAGAAAACCTGCCTCTCATATTGCCTTTAAACTTACCTCCTTAAACTTGTGTCTCCTATTAATTGACATTTCTACACCGGGAAGAAGACTCCAACTATTCCATTCTATCCATAACTCTCATAATCTTGTAAACCTCTATCAGGTTGCCCCCTTCCCCACCGATCTCGTCCTTCGACATTCAAGTGAAAACAAACCAGGTTTGTCCAATCTCTCCTCTGAGCTAATACCCGACAAACCAGCAACATCCTGGTAACTACATAGCTTTCACATGTTTCTGGTAGTATGGCAATCAGAACTGTACGCAATATTTCAAATGTGCCCTGACTAAAATTTTACACAGCTGTAATCTGACTTACCAATTTTTATACTTTCTGACCCAACTGATGAAGGCAAGTATGCCATACACCACCTTGACTACCTTATACATGTGTTGTCAGTTTCAGGGAACTAGGGACCTTTGCTCCTAGACTCCTCTGTATGTTGACACTACTAAGGTTTCTGACATTTACTATATACTGCCGTCTCAAAATTAAATCACCTCGCATTTGTCTGGATTAAACACTGTCATTTCTCCGCCCATGTCTCTAGCCTATATATACAGCTGTAGCCTCTGGCAATACTCCTCACTAATATCAGCTCCGCTTAATCTTTGTGTTGTCTGCAAGCTTACTAAACAAGCAACCTACATTCACCTCCAAATCATTTGTATATATTGCAAACAGCACTAATCCCTGCAGAACACCACTGGTCACAGATCTCCAATATGAAAAACACACTTTCACTGCTACTCTGTCTTCAAATGACAAAGCCATTTCTGTATCCATCTTAGATAGTAGGAACTGCAAATGCTGGAGAATCTGAGATAACAAGGTGTAGAGCTGGATGAACACAGCAGGCCAAGCAGCATCAGAGGAGCAGGAAGGCCTGGTCTAGGCCCAAAATGTCAGCCTTCCAGCTCCTCTGATGCTGCTTGGCCTGCTGTGTTCATTCAGTTCTACACCTTGTTACCTCTGTATCCATCTTACCAGCGCACCATGGATCCCATGTGACTTCACCTTTTGTATCAGCCTACCATGACGGACCTTGACAAAGCTTCTATCGGTAACATCCACCACCCTACCCTCATCATTCATCTTTATCACTTCCTCAAAAAATTCAGTGAAGTTTGTGAGACATGACATCCCTGCACAAAGCCATGCTGCCGATTGCTAATAAGTCCATATTTTTTCCAAATATGAGTAAATTGTATCCCTAAGAATCTTCTCCAATAATTTTGCTTCCACTGATATAAGGCTCACTGGCCTGTAATTACCTGGATTCTCCCTGTAGCATATCTTAAAGGAACAATGTTGACTACTCTACAGACCTCTGTATCCTTTTTAACCACAGGAGAGGTCCCAAAGATTCATAAGAGACCCCAGCAATTTCCTCACCTGCCTCCATCCCTCAGCATTCGAGATAGATCTCATCAGGTCCTGGGGATTTGTCTACTTCAATCTTTTCAAAACACCCAGCACATTTTTATATTGACATGCCACAGAATATCAACCTACCCCTCTCAGGACTTACCATCCACCATGTCTTTCTCCTTTGTGGATACTGATGCAAAGTATTTGTTAAGCACCTCACCTACTTCCTCTGGCTCTGTGCTTAATTATCCTCTATGTCCTTGAATGACCCTACCCCCTAGCTACTCTCTTGCTCTTTATATATGTAATAAACACCTTAGGGTTTTCCTTGATCCTGTTTGTCAAAGATATGTCACGGCACCTTTTAGGCCCTCCTAATTCCTTGTTTTAGTTCTTTTCTGCTGCCTTCGTATTCTTCGATGGCTCTGTCTAGTTTCAAAACCTTACGCATGCTTCCTTTTTCTTTGAATAAGCCCTCAATTTCTCTTGTCATCCAAGTTCCCAAATCTTGACATTCTTCATCCTTCATTTTCACAGGAACATTCTGGTCCTGAACTTTAATCAATTGGCCTTTAAAAGATCTCCACATGCCAAATATGGATTTACCCTCGAACAGTCACCCCCATTCTACATTCCCCAGTTCCTGATTAATGTTGTGACAGTTAGCCTTGCACCAATTTAGCACTTTTACCCGAGGACTACTCTTGTCCTTATCCAAAAGTAACTTAAAACTTAGAATTTTATGGCCACTGTTCCAGAAATGCACCTCCCACTGAAACTTTGATCACTTGGCTGGGCTCATTCTCCAATACCAGGTCTAGAATGGCACCATCTTTCCTTTTGACCATGTGCATATTGTTTCAAAAAATCATCCTGGACATACCTAACAAGTCTCCCCACCCTCCCAACTGATCTAAGCCCTTGGCACTAAGCAAGTCCCAGTCAATATAGGGGGATGATAAATCACCCAACTCAACAATCCTGTTGTTTTCACACGTTTCCATAATCTGTTCAGACATCTGTTTCTCTGTCATCCGCTGGCTATTGGGAGACCTGTAGCACAATCCCATCAAAAGTAATTGCACCCTCTGCCTATTCCTGAGCTCTATTCACATGGCATCGCTGGATGAGCCCTCCCAGGTGTCCTCCCTCAGTACGGGGCTGTGATATTCTCCCTTATCAGTAATGCAACTCCCCTACCTCTTTTACATCCCTCTCTATCTCGCCTGAAATATTTAAATCTTGGAATGCTAAGCTGCCAGTCTTCTCTCTCTCAACTAAGTCTCTGTAATAGCTGCAACATCATAGCTATATGTACTAATCAATGTTCATCTGCCTTACCAGTCATACTCCCCACATTAAAACAAATACAGACTGTCAGTGCTGCCATGTTCAGTAACCTTTCCTTGTCTGTTCTTCATCTTAGCCTTACTGATTTTAGTCTCTGACTCTCCCTCGGTCATTTTCCTCGCTGAACTACTGCTCTGGTTTCCGTCCCCTGCCACACTAGTTTAAACTCTCCCAAGTGACACTAGCAAACTTCCCTACCAGGATATTGGTGCTCCTCCAGTTTAGGTGCAACCAATCCTTATATAGGTTTCATCTACTCCAAAAGACATTCCAATGATCTATATATCTGAAACCCTCCCTCCTACACCAGCTCTTTAGCCACCTATTTAACTACTATCTTCCTATTCCTAGCCTTACTGGCACGTGGTACAGGAAGTAATCCTGAGATTACAACCCTGGAGGTCCTGCTTTTCAGCTTCCTACCTAACTCCCTGAATTCCCTTTGCAGGACCTCATCTGACTCTCTGCCCATGGTTGCTCACCTCCCTTTCAGAATATCCTGTAGCCACTCAGAAACATCCTTGACCCTAATACCCAGGAGAAAACACACCATTCTGGAATCTTGCTCATAGCCACAGAAATGTTTATCTGTGCCTCTAACTATAGAGAGTCCCTGTCACTACTGCTCATTTATACTTTAACCCTACCTGCTGTACAACAGTGCCAGTCATGGTGACCTGGCTGCTACTGCTGCTTTTCATGGAAGCTATTCTTCCAAACACTGCCTGCCCACACTTACTTATCTTCCTCGTGGTCACAAGTTTTCTCTGTCTATGAAGTCCTTACTGGTGATGTGTGAAGAAATTTGAAATCACAGCAAATTTGGGCGTTATAGTGATGACTCCATTTATGCATATGCCCTAACTGCCAGTTCTCATGTGTTTGCACTAGCAGCATATTTTATATCTGTGAATGTCATCAGGTAATCAGTGGGCTTATATTAAGCCATTCAGTTACACAAAGTGGTATGCTTCTTTCAATGTGTCATGCTCCAAATGACTGATTAAGATGGAGTCTGAAACCTTTATACTCTTGAGTCATGAGCGTTTCTCTTAAAGTTACCCTGGCCATGACATGTAACAGAAATTCTGCCAGACAGTTTTAAAACAGTGAGTTTAATTTTTGGCACATTTTTGGAATTCAATTCATTATTGTGCATAGGACTCAAAGTAAATGTACTATATTTCATTTGCCTTGACCAATTTGAGCTACCTTATTAGTTTGGGACATGAAATAGTGAGACTCCAATTAGAGAACTAAAATTTGAGATATCTGGATGCTTTCCATTTTGATTTTTATGCATTTCAGCTGTATTGTTTTAGTAAGGAGAGGGACCTCATTGGTCGGTTGACCAACAGTAGCAAAAATAGGAACCTCAAGCATGTCTTAGGGTTGTAATACACATCATGAAAAATAATTAAGAGCAGAAACTTCAAATGTTCTTCTGACGTGACATCCAAAGAGGAAGTTCTGAACTTTGATTTTCACTCCAGGGGCAAGAAACAAATGTTGGGAAGTTAGGGGAGTTCAATACCCATATCAGCGTTGATTTTTACAGGGGTGTGCACTTTTAATTGATCTGGAGTTGGGTTCACTTTCAATTCAACGTGACAAATAGGATATTGAAGCCCAAGGGCCAACTGCAGACTTTGCAGCTTGAAAGGCAACCACCCTCTGAAGTGGCCTATAATGCTACACAGTTCAAGAACAAATTGGGAAGAGCAAAAATGCTGATGTTGCAAGCGGTACCCACATCCCATTTAAAACAAACCTACAATGACTAGCAGATAAGTAAAGGAGATGCTGGCTCAAAAAGGAGACAATTTCT